CCTCCAAGCACTAGCCCCATGCCCGACGTACTGCACAAGTAGCGCAACACCCTCTTTGCTGCAGCCATGTGCTCTGGTCGGTGTCTCCCAGGAGCAACATAGCGTGCAAGAATGCTAAGAGGGTATGCAAGGTCAGGTCGTGTGCAGGTCATCAGGTACATGAGGCAGCCAACAAGCTCTGGATACGGGCAACTCGACTCTACGGACTCATCCGAAGGCAGAGCTGAGAGCGAGTGGCGAGTAGGCAGAGGAGTGGCCTGAGGCGAGGAGTACGTGAAGCCGAAGCGCTGAAGGACCTGCTGCACCATGTGTGACTGCGTCAGGGTAATGGTGCGGCGTGCTCTGTCCCGGGTGATCTGCAAGCCAAGGTAGCTGCGCAGTTCACCCAGGTCTGTGCACGTGTGTCTCTTCTGCAGCTCGGACTTCACGTAGGCGAGTCCAGCAGTGTCAGCTGTGGCAAAGACCAAGTCGTCGACGTACACGAGGATGTAGAACGGCAGCAGAGAGGTGTCGGTGCGCAGAAACAGCGACGGGTCAGCAGTAGAAGGAGCGAACCCAAGAGCCGCAAGTATAGTCCTCAGTGTGTCGTGCCACTCACGCGGTGCCTGGCGGAGACCGTAGACTGGACGCCGGAGACTCCACTGGGTACCAGGAGGGAAAGACCCAGTGAAGCTAGGTGGGCGGCGCAGCCAGATCTCCTCGTGCAGGCTGCCCTGCAAGAAAGCTGTGCTGAAGTCGAGAGAGTGCAGCTCGTAGTTTCGGTGAGCAGCAACGTGCAGCAGTACCCGAAGAGTGGTCATCTTCGGGGTGGGGGAGAAGGTCTGAAAGTAGTCAACTCCCTGCCGCTGACTGAAGCCACGAGCAACGTAACGCGCCTTGAAGACAGGCGGAGAACCCGGCGGCCGCTTCACCCTGAAAATCCACATGCCACTGACTATGTTCGCCCGAGGAGGGGGGACAGCGTCAACGTAGGTGCCTGTGGACTTCCAGGAAGCCATCTCTGCATCCATAGCTGTCTGCCACTGAGAGGAGTAGGGACCCTCTATCGCCTCCGCCTAAGAGCGCGGAGTCGGGATGTCAAGTGCATCCGGGTCTCCCTTAGGGGTAAGCAGTACGGACACGAGATGAGGCGAAGCAGCTGCCAGGCACTGGAACTCCTCCTGCCTGTCCTCAAGGACGTCCGTGCCAAGGGCACACTCACCCCCGACGGAAGGAGGACAGACAGACCCAGACTCAGCGACAAGACTAGCACCGTAGTCTAGGCGACAGCGAGCAGCAAAGTCGACGAGCTCAGCAACTAGGGCAGACGCAGCAGTCGACTCGAAAGAAGGGTCAGTGACGACAGTAGCCAGGAGACGAGTGACAGTAGGACTGGCAGCACGAAGAGAGTTCGACTCTGGGTCGGCAAGAGCAGGAAGAGAGGACTCAGGAGGAGAAGGCAAAGGGGCACGCAGAGGAGGAGTGGACGGACGCAGAGACATACTGTGCGTGCCAGGGACAGGAGGAGGACGCGGACGCGAACCACGACCACTAGCGCGAGCAGCACGGACAGGCGACCTAGGGCGAGACGCAGGCTCACGACGCTCAGCAAGACCTCCAGTAGGACCAGTGTAGGGAGAAGGAGCAGGCAAAGGGGAGGTAGGCTGCAACCGTAACTGTGACGGGACAGGCTGTGGACACTCTAAGGTAGGAGGAGGACCAGTAGAAGGTGGAAGACCAAGAACCTGCTGCAGGATTGGAACGAAGTACGGTCGAGGCCGCGTGGCGACGCCAGAAACAGCTGGGACAGCACCAGTACCTCCAGCAGGAGCACCCGCTCCAGCAGCACCTCCAGCAGCTCCAGAACCTCCAGCAGCACCAGGAGCACCCCTAGCAGGACCGCCAGTGGTAGTCTCAGCGCCTACACCCTCAGCAGCACCAGCTCCAGTCGAACCTGCAGGCCCAGCAGCTCCAGTACTCCCAGGATGAGCACCTCCGGGACCTGCGACAGAAGCACCCTCAGTAGCCGACAAACCTCTAGCACCAGCAGCACGGCTCCAGCGCCGGGCAAACCACTCGCGCAGCTCCTGTGGAGAGAGTGGCTCCCGGCGAGACGAAGCACCCGGAGAACCTCTTGGCGGAGCACCTCCAGGCTCAGCACCCCCAGGCCCAGCACCCTCAGGCAAAGCACCCCCAGGCGTAGTACCCCCAGGCTCAGCACCCCCAGGCTCAGCACCCCCAGGCTCAGCACCCCCAGGCGTAGCACCCCCAGGCTCAGCACCCTCAGGCTCAGCACCCCTAGGCTCAGCACCCCCAGTAGCCGAAGAACCTCCAGCACCAGCAGCACGGCTCCAGCGCCGGGCAAACCACTCGCGCAGCTCCTGTGGAGAGAGTGGCTCCCGGCGAGACGAAGCACCCGGAGAACCTCCAGGCGGAGCACCTCCAGGCTCAGCACCCCCAGGCCCACCACCCTCAGCAGCACCAGAGTCACCAGTGACCTCGACAGGCTCGACTGCGTCTACCTGGGACACACCTGAAGGGGCAGGACCCTGAGGGGGGAGAGGGTCTACCTGGGGGGGACCTGGTACAAGGAAGAGCGGGGGCGGGGGGAGGGACGGAGTGCGGTAGGGGAAGAGGCGGTAGTAGGGGACCGACTCATCAAACGTGACGTCCTGGGAGGACAGAACACGGCGAGAGGTGGGGTGGTAGAACTGCCACCCAGGCGCGTCAGGGGGGAACCCCAGGAAGACGCAAGGAGCAGCACGAGGGGACAGCTTGTCCGCAGACAAGTCGCGGACAAACGCCCGAGATCCCCAGACCCGAAACGCCGACGCATCGCCAACCTTCCCTGTCCACAGAAAGGCTGGGGAGGTCTCCGGCCTGGAGACCCTGGGGTGAAGGTTGATCTGATGCGCCGCGTACCTCACCGCAAACGGCCACAGAAAATGGGGGGCAGCTGCATGCATCATAGACGTACGAGCGACGTCCATGACCATGCCAATGCGGCGCTCAGCAATCCCATTTTGCTGCTGAGAGTCCATAAGCGTGAAGGTCTGACGGATGCCCCGTGCGCGACAGTAGGCTCTCAGAAGGCCAGAGGAAAACTCTCCGCCTCTGTCCGAGTGCAGACGCAGAACAGGAAAGTCTGAGCCAAAGCTCTGCCTGAGCTGGAGACGAGCTGCGCGGATCCAGTCTATCAGCACCTTAGTGACATCACCCTTGCTGCGCAAGGGGAAAACTGCGGTGTAACGCGAGTAGTTGTCAACAACGAGCAGGAAGTAGCGCTCGTGACCCTGTCCACGGATGCGGGCTGGGCCCCACACGTCCATGTGAAGCGTCAGCAACGGGGCCTCTGTCGGAGGAGACTGGGAGGAGTGAGGGGCAGCACGCTGGCACCCCTCAACACAGGGGACACAGGTAGGGCCAGGGCCCTGAGGAAGGGGAGGGAGGGACCGGGGGAGACCAGAAACAAGAAGACGAGAGGCCATGCCTCTGAGCCGAAGCAGAGAGGGGTGACCAAGGCGGTGGTGCCAGAGGAGAGTCTCGTGAGACAGGAGACGACACGAACAGGGGGCAGACTCAGGACCAGACCTGGACGCTGCAGCAAACACCTGACCCGACGCAGCTACCCTACTAGACGCAGGGACTGGAGGAGACGCAGTGGTAAGTGTGTACAGGCTCGACCCCGGTCGACGAGTAAACGTGGCCGGGTGTCGGCCTGTCCGAGCGTCTGTGCAGTGGGTCACCCGCTGACTCGCAGGAGTGAACTGGTGAACCCCCGCATCCTGCAGGTCAGCACCACTCACCAAGTTCGTAGAGAACGAGGGGAGGTAAAGACCAGACAGGGTGCCAGAGGGGGCCGCCGGACACGGGAGGACAATGGAGAAGTGAGCAAGGACAGGGCCCCCAGAGGGGTCTGCCAGAGAGACCGCAACTGGCCGACCAAATGGCGTGAGTGTGGTGCGGTCTCGAAAGAAGGAGCGGGAAGCCCCCGGGTCAAGGGTGAAGGTGTGAGAGGTCGGAGCCGACGCGGTACCTGAGAGAGCAGACTCACCCGCACCTGAGGAAGCAGACTCACTAGCACCTAGAGCAGCAGCCGCACCTGTACCTGGAGCACGAGACACACTAGCACCCAGAGCAGCAGCCTCACCACCCGGGTCAGGCGGTACGCACAGGTGACCGGCACAGTCAGCACTAGTAGGCAATGCATACATGGCAGTAAGAATAGCATCATAGTCAAGAGCAAATATATCTACCCTCTGCCTAAGCAACTCTGTTGGTGCAACCCTACGGTTTGCACTCGGCTTGTTGTCCGTCTGCGTGCATGTGTGTGTGTATGGAATGGTATGAGGGCATGGGATAATATATATTTCATGCTTATAATTGTGTGTGAATGTTGAGTCATGATGTCGAGTGTGTGTGTCGAGTCAATAGCGAGTTATCGCTAGACGCGTGTTACGCGGTCGTTTGTGTCTCGCGCGCGGTTTCTATTTTTGTCGTGCGCGATTTCTATTTTGTCTTGTGTCGAACGTTCGGTGTGTCGCAGGTGTGTGCAGCAGACCCATCAAGAACTCAAGGATGAGTTTGTGATGAAGAGCCCGAGCCTTGGTGTCAAGCCTCAAGTGATTTCGAAGCTCGCCAAAAGGGTACACCTCAAGATATTGAAGATAGTTACATTACTTTGTGTAGTGTAACATTTCACTTGGTGTAGGCCCTAGTGAAGGGTAGTTTCGAGACCCTTCGTGGTTAGGGACAGTGTGGCACTGTTGCACATCACTGTACCTCGGCTCTTGGGGTTTGTAGGAGCTGGGAGTCATTCCCAACTCGTAACTCTTCCTAACTCTTCCTATTTTGTGTTCTAAGACTATAGTGGCTGCCATAGTGCCGTTCGTTCAAACCAACACTGTATCGTCAATAATTGGTGAAATTGTGCGATCTAAATTGCCTATTGTAGGCGACGTTAAGACGCTCCAGATCCAAGTTGAATCAGGTCATTTGAAGTTGTGACCAGAACGCTATGAATGTTTGAAGCCGCTGTGCAGAAATCCGGCTGTGCACTCTATCTTTCGTTTTAGGCACATTGGAGCCTATTGTGACTATAACAAGTGGTATCAGAGCCCCTTGGAGCAGTTTCGAAAATGGCTGGACCAGAGGAAAGGGGTGGCAGAGGTGCTGGTGGCAGAGGAGAAGCCCAAGCTCAAGGCCAACCCCGTGATTCAGCCATGGCGCCTGTGCAATCAAGTGTTGGCCCATCTAAGGATGAGCCTAGAGTGTTTGGCCTTGACAAGTTCAATGGTGACAACTTTGCTGAGTGGTCCTTCAGAATGGAGAACATATTTGACCACTATGACCTGCTGGAGGTAATGGAAGGAACGGAGAAGCGTCCCGAGAACGACCCGGAGAAGAGCCCGTGGGTGCGGAAGAGCGCACAAAGCTACCTCCTACTTGGGCAAGCGTTGGGGAGCAGCCAAATCCGTCACATCAAGCCTTTCCAGCGTGAACCAGAGAAGGGACCAAAGGCATGGGCTGCTTTCAAGGGTGTACACGCTCCTGCAACAGCGGCGGTAGCTGTGGTGTTGGAACGGCAAATGGCGACACTACGAATTGAAGAGGATGAAGCGGTTGAAGAAGGGGTGCAGAAATTCTTCGACTTGTTGACGCGGCTTGAGGGAGCGGATTTGAACTATAGTGAGCTCCAAAAGAAGACCAAGTTGCTGGCCCTACTCCCTGAGTCATGGTCCTCGCTCATCATCAACCTTAATCGCGACTTGCCCCGCCTCTCGCTTGAAGACGTGAAGCGAGCTATCTTTCAAGAGGATTTCCGCCGCCGTGAGTTGGCGAGTGCGGATGGCGCTGGGGCAGCGAGCATCGGCCGTGGATATGGTCGAGGAAGAGGTAGAGGACGAGGGAGAGGAAGGTTTGGTGGCAGCAACTTCGGCGGAGGCCGCGGGAGTGGCGGTTACGGCAGCGACGACAAGAGCTACGGACGCTGTCGCGGCCGATTCGACGGCGAGTGTCACTATTGCCACAAGAGCGGACACATGTGGCGCGACTGCTACAAACTCCCTGATGGTTGGACCCTTGCTCAAGGCGAAGAGGGTAGAGGAGCAGGAGGAGGGAGAGGAAGAGGCCGTGGAGGCCGTGGCGGTCGCGGTGGCGGAGCTGCAAACATGAAGAGCGGAGACAACGACAAGGACCCGAGCAACGATCGGTACCCGGGCCTATTCTACTTCGTGTCGACGCAAGTACCCACTGGTCCAAAGAAGGATGAAGGCTTTGAGGAGCCAGCAGCTGTGGGGAAGGTGACTCTACACCCTCTGGACTATTGGGTGATCGATAGTGGCGCTACCTATAGCATGACACCTCGCCTGGACTTGCTCACCGAACTCGAACCGTCACCGGTGAAGCATGTTACATCAGCTTTGGGGCAGCGAGCGGAGGTGAAATGCATGGGCAAGGCCATGTTTAAGGGTGCTGATGGGAAGATGGTGGGCCTCAAGAATGTGCTTTGGGTGCCCAGCCTTGCTGCCAACCTGATTTCCGTGCGGCGGTTGGCAAAGGCCGGCATGGACACGAACTCAAAGGGAGCCAAGACCTACGCCGCAAGGCTTGGCGATCGGATTATTTGGGACCTTCATGAGGACAAAGATGTCTACAACGAGATGTGGCAGATCCCTGTGGTCCCAATGCCTAAGGAGAGGCAAGTGGCAGCAAGCGTCAGCACCAAAGGTGGAGCGGTTGGTAGCGGCGATTGCGCGGACGGTCGCGCTAAGGAGAAGGAGTCCAAGAAGTGCAATCTTGGAGGGACCAGCAAGCTTGGTGAACCTATGGAGAGAGGTGCAGCAGCCAAGGAGCAGCAAAAGGGTGAGGAGAACCCCGAGGCAGCAGCGGAGTAGGACTATGGAGAGAGTATGTGGGGCGCTATTGCGAGCGCGGCATTCTCCAATCCAACTTCGGCTACGGGGGAGTGTGATTGGCTCACCTTGCATCGGCGCATGGGGCATATGGCCCTGCCCATCTTGCAGCAGCTAGTAAAGAATGAGATGATTGCTGGCAAACGTGTGAAGGGGGAGCCCGATGAGGTACTTGGCTGCCCGACGTGCATGCAAGCCAAGTTCACCCGTTTCCCATTCTCTAGTTCGGAGGCAACGGCTAAGGCACCACTTGATGAGGTGGTGATGGACGTGGTGGGCCCCCTGAAGCTTGGAGCTGCTGGAGCTGAGTACTTCCTCACTATTGTGGACGTCTACACCCGTATGACTTGGGTGTACGTGCTGGCCAAGAAGAGCGACGTGGCTGAAACGTTGAAGGCAGATTGGTTCCCGATGGTGGAGCGGCAACAAGACCGTCTAGTCAAGTCAATCCGCACCGATCGAGGGGGAGAGTTCCTGAGCAAGGAGTTTGGGTTGTGGCTGAAGAAGAATGGTATTCGGCACTCCCTCACCATGCCATACTCCCCTGCAATGAACGGCATCGCCGAGCGAGCGAACCGCACAATCACATAGGCGGCACGCGGGTTGCTCATTGAAGCCGGGCTACCCGACTATTTCTGGCCTGATGCGGTGCGGAGCGCGTGTGTGGCCAAGAACCGAGCCTTGACTCATGTGGGAGCAGACAAATGGGTGCCCTATGTGGAGTGGCTAGGAAGGAAGCCAAAGGTGGATATGCTTCGGGTGTTCGGGTGCATGTGCATGGCGCTCGTGCCTAAGCATCTTCGGCACAACAAGCTTGGTGCCAAGGCGGTGTGGGCCGTGCACTTGGGCATGGCTCAAAGCAGCAAGGGATGGCTTCTTTGGGACCCATTCACCAAGAAGTTCTTGGTGAGAAGGGACTACAAGTTCATGGAGAACTTCGTGTACAAAGATTGGAAGGCGGAGAATGAGGCGAAGATAGGCGTGCGGTTTGGGGAGGTGAAGAGTTCCGGTTTGGAGCATGTGGAGCTGCCTTTGGAGCTGAGCTGCGGCAGCACAACCACAAGGCAATCCTCCCTTGTGAATGGGGGAGAGGAGGCCAATGATGCAGAGGAAGAAGAGGAGGAGGTGCAGCAAGTGAGCGAGCGTGCACCGTCACTCCCTTCCCGTACTACGAGTGCTCCACGGATTCGAGCCACACCGCAGCAACGCCAAGGCCTTCAAGTCCCTGCAGCTGAGGAGGAAGGAAGGGGCAAGAGGAGAGTTCAGCCCCCTAATAGGCTGACCTATGATGCGCTGGGAAAGCAGGGCAAGACAGCCCTGGCCGGAGCGGCAATGATGGTCGGAGACGACGAGGAGAGCGACTACGAGGAGTGTGCCTTCGCGTTCTTCTCTCCGGTGGAGATGCCGGGAGAACCAGCAACTCTCAAGGAGGCTTTGGAGAGTAGTGATGCTGAGGAGTGGAAGAAGGCCATGGAGAGTGAGCTGAAGAGCATCAAGGAGAATGACACGTTTGAATTGGTGGAGCTACCGGAGGGGCGTACGGCGATAACGTCCAAGTGGCTCTTCAAAATCAAGTCGGATGCCGACGGCAAGATCGAGCGCTACAAGTCTAGGCTTGTAGCCAAGGGGTACCAGCAGAAGGAGAAGGTGGACTTCAAGGAGCTGTTTGCCCCTGTGGTGAAGCCGACGACGCTGCGAACCCTATTCGCGGGAGCCGCCATCAAAGGATGGGTAGTAAAACAAATGGACATCGTAACGGCATTCCTTAACGGCATCCTTGAGGAGGAGATTTTTATGGCGCAGCCAGAGGGGTTTGATGATGGTAGTGGCAGAGTGTGGAAGCTGAAGAAGGCCCTCTATGGGCTGAAGCAGGCCCCTAGGCAATGGTACATGAAGCTGCGCGAAGTGTTGGAGGAGATCGGCTTCACTCCCTCAACGGCCGATCACTCCTTGTTCATGCTTGGCGAGGGGGAGCAGAGGAGCTTCATGGTGGTTTATGTGGATGACATTCTCATATTCTCACCCTCCTCTGACCTTGTGAAGGAGGTGATGCTGAAGCTGCATGACAAGTTCAAGTGCAAGTCCCTTGGTGACGTGAACTTCTACCTTGGGCTCCACATCGAACGAGACGTGGAGAAGCGGAGCATGCGAGTGCACCAACGGAAGTACCTGGAGGCGTTGGCTGCCAACTTCAGCCAGAGTGAAGGTCATGTGGCTACTCCCTTTCCCTCTGGGTTCAAGTGTGTGAAGGGACCAGAGGAGGAGAGCGTTTGTGAAGAGGAGAGGCGCCGTTTTCACTCGTTGGTGGGCAGCCTCATGTATGCGGCGGTAAACACCCGACCGGACGTCGCGTTTGCTACCGGGCAGCTGGCTAGGGTTGTGCAATGCCCTAATGAGGAGCAGGTAGCAGCTGGAATGAGGGTGGCCAAGTATCTTGGCCAAACACCGACCGTTGGGCTGCAATACTCGGCGGTGGCACAAAGGCGCCAAAAGGGCGCGGATGGTGTTGAGCCCGGGCGTTTGTTCCTCACCGCCTACTCGGATGCGTCATATGCATCGGAACCAGAGGACATGACAAGTGTGGGAGGCTTCATATGCTGTGTTGGTGGAGGCCCAACTGCTTGGGAGAGCAAGAAGCAGGTTGACCAAGCTTTGAGCTCGGTGGAGTCCGAGTACATGGCACTCTTCCGTGCCGTACGGGAGATTGTGTGGCAGCGGCGTTTGTTGGCTGAATTGGGGGAGGAGCAGCAAGGACCTACCCCACTCTACTGTGACAGCCAGGGTGCCATTGCTCTTGCTAAGAACCCTGTGTTGCATGGACTCACAAAGCACAAGAGAGTGAAGTGGCATTGGACGAGGAGCATGGTGACCGCGGGTGAAGTTGAGTTGCGGTACGTGAAGACCACAGGGCAGCCCGCTGACATGATGACTAAGAGGCTGGTGGAGCAACAGCATTGGAAGTGTTGCAAGCTGGCTGGGATGGCTCTGAACTGAGAGAGCAGCATATCCTAAGGCCAACAATCCGAGGGGGAGTTTGTTGGTGCAACCCTACGGTTTGCACTCGGCTTGTTGTCCGTCTGCGTGCATGTGTGTGTGTATGGAATGGTATGAGGGCATGGGATAATATATATTTCATGCTTATAATTGTGTGTGAATGTTGAGTCATGATGTCGAGTGTGTGTGTCGAGTCAATAGCGAGTTATCGCTAGACGCGTGTTACGCGGTCGTTTGTGTCTCGCGCGCGGTTTCTATTTTTGTCGTGCGCGATTTCTATTTTGTCCTGTGTCGAACGTTCGGTGTGTCGCAGGTGTGTGCAGCAGACCCATCAAGAACTCAAGGATGAGTTTGTGATGAAGAGCCCGAGCCTTGGTGTCAAGCCTCAAGTGATTTCGAAGCTCGCAAAAAGGGTACACCTCAAGATATTGAAGATAGTTACATTACTTTGTGTAGTGTAACATTTCACTTGGTGTAGGCCCTAGTGAAGGGTAGTTTCGAGACCCTTCGTGGTTGGGGACAGTGTGGCACTGTTGCACATCACTGTACCTCGGCTCTTGGGGTTTGTAGGAGCTGGGAGTCATTCCCAACTCGTAACTCTTCCTAACTCTTCCTATTTTGTGTTCTAAGACTATAGTGGCTGCCATAGTGCCGTTCGTTCAAACCAACACTGTGTCGTCAATAATTGGTGAAATTGTGCGATCTAAATTGCCTATTGTAGGCGACGTTAAGACGCTCCAGATCCAAGTTGAATCAGGTCATTTGAAGTTGTGACCAAAACGCTATGAATGTTTGAAGCCGCTGTGCAGAAATCCGGCTGTGCACTCTATCTTTCGTTTTAGGCACATTGGAGCCTATTGTGACTATAACAAACTCCACCCAGTCGGGGAGCTCAGCCTCGTCGCCAAACTCGGTACGCCAGGCGTCGCTCAGACGGGCGAAGCAGCGGGACGGTGTGTGAGTAGGCGTCCCACAAGGCTGACCAGTCTGAGCACCAGTGCGAATCACGTAAGAGCAGCGAACAGAACTGAGAGACCCTCTACTCTGAGCGTACCACTCACGAAGCTGCTGGGGCGTGAGAGACGCGCGTGGGCGTCGCTGGAGCTGCATCTGGCCGCCGCCAGTAGTAGTAGCAGTAGTAGCGGCGCCACCCCTACAACCCCAACCAGCGTACCACTCACGCAGCTGCTGGGGCGTGAGGGACTCACGCTGACGTTGCTGGGGCTGCATCTGGCTCCGCCAGTAGAAGCAGAAGCAGGAGTAGCAGCAGTAAGACAGGCAGCCAAGCAAGCGGCAGGCAGCGCGCTAGTAAGGCAGGGGCTCACCAGTGGTGGGAATAGCAGGCTCGACGACTCGGCGACTCGGCGACTCGGCGGCACGGCGGCACTGCAGCAACTGCGGCTCGGCGGCTCGGGCGACTCGGGCGGCTCGGCGGCTAGGGCGACTCGGGCGGCTCGGCGGCTCGGCGGTACGGCTGCTCGACAGCAACTGCAGCTCGGTGGCTCGGCGACCCGGCGGCTCGGGCGGCTGAGGTGGCGCTGCGGCTCGGGCGGCTCGGGCGGCTCGGGTGGCTCGGCACTAGCTCGGCGGCGCCGGCGACTCGGTGGTGACGGCGGGGCCGCTTGGGGACGGCGGCGGGGCCGGGTGGAGCAGCGACGGGGCCAGCAGAGGCGGCGCCGGGGCCGGGAAGGGCGGAGCCGGGGCCGGGAAGGGCGGCGTCGGGGCCGGCAGAGGTGGCGCCGGGGCCGGGAAGGGCAGCGCCGGGGCCGCATGGGTAGTTGACGGGGCCAGCAGAGGCGGGGCCGGGTCGGGAAGGTCGGCGTCGGGGTCGCCGGGGTAGGCGACGGGGCCAGCCGAGGTGGCGCCGGGGCCGGGAAGGGCGGAGCCGGGGCCGCAGGGGCAGGCGACGGGGCCAGCAGAGGCGGGGCCGGGTCGGGAAGGTCGGCGTCGGGGTCGCCGGGGTAGGCGACGGGGCCAGCCGAGGTGGCGCCGGGGCCGGGAAGGGCGGAGCCGGGGCCGCAGGGGCAGGCGACGGGGCCAGCAGAGGCGGGGCCGGGTCGGGAAGGTCGGCGTCGGGGTCGCCGGGGTAGGCGACGGGGCCAGCCGAGGTGGCGCCGGGGCCGGGAAGGGCGGAGCCGGGGCCACGAAGGGCGGCGCTGAGGTCGCAGGGGTAGGTGACGGGGCCACTAGGGCGGCGGATCGGGGCCGCAAGGGCGGCGCGACGCGGCCGCTAGGGCGGCGCGACGGGGTAGCGGGGCCGCGCGCCTCGGGGCGCGCGCCAGAAAGAAAATCGCCGCGCGCCAGGTCGCACGCCGCGGGGCGTGCGACAGATCGAGTAGCAGCGGAAGCAGTAGTAGGGCCTTAGGAACAGTTCCCACGAGGGAACCTGCTCGATACCATGTGAAACACTGAAACGAGAATGATTCAACTATGAAAGAGTTGGGTACAAGTACTAACCCTAATTGGGTTGTACCCCATATGGGCTACCCCACTACAGCCTACACAAATGTATAAGCTATATGTTCTGACAAGCTCAACCTCTGGCCCCGTGTCTCCTTGTCAAAGACCTCGCCGACACTGCGTTGGACGGGAGAGGTTGGCGATGCGTCAGTGTTCCGGGTCTTAGGATCTTGTGCCTTTATCCGCAATACCTCCGCGGACAAGCTCTCCTTCCGTGCCATTCCCTGCGTCTTCCTTCGCTTTCCCCCTGACGCGCTTGGCTGGCAGTTTTACCACCCCACCTCACGCCGTGTCCTATCCTCTCAGGACGTCACGTTTGACGAGTCGGCTCCCTTTTACCGTCTCTTCCCCTACTGCACTGCCTCTCTCCCTCCCCCGCCAGTCTTCCTTGCACCAGGTCCTCCTCCGGTAGACCCCCTCCCTCCTCAGGTTCCTGCTCCCTCAGGTGTTTCCCAGGTAGACCGTGTCGAGCCTGTCGAGGTAGCTATTGACTCTGGTGCTGCTGGTGGTGGTGGTGCTAGGGGTGCTGCGTCTAGGGGTGCTGAGCTGGAGGGTGCGGAGCCTGGGGGTGCTGAGCCTGGGGGTGCTAAGCCTAGGGGTGCTGAGCCGGGGGGTGCTGAGCCTAGGGTTGCTGACTTTGAGAGCGCAGAGCCTTGGGGTGCTGAGCTTGTGGGTGCTGAGCTTAGGGGTGCTGAGCCTGAGCGTTCTGAGCCTTGAGGTACTTTGAATACTGGAGTTCTTGCAGGTGCCTTATCTTGGCGGGAGCCTCTCTCTCCACCGCAGCTGCGCGAGTGGTTTGCTCGGCGCTGGTGCCTTCGGAGTGGCGCT